TTTCCAGTCTGTTTTTTAAAAGAAAAATAGGTGTGTTCTAATTCCATCTTCAATGTTTGTGGTTGGGCTGGCTCATTTGCAGATATCTCTGGGATCAAGAGATCTGAAAAAGATTCTTAAGTCTTATAAGCATTCCCAGAATTACAAAACCCTTTCTCGTTTTCAATTTTCTTTTGAGATTGGGAAGTACCGTTCTTCTGCCTTGGCACGCATCAAGACAGCTGGTGTTGGTTCCGAGGGAAACCCCAGTGAGCTGCAGAGTATGGGCAGGCCAGGACCAGCCAAGAGAGGAGGAAGGGGCCGAGGGTGGAAGGGAGACTCTGATTGGGCTCATGGGCCTGGTCCCGGAAAATGACACTTAGGTCCAGCCACGTAATGAGTAAGTATCTTTGGATTGCTTCTTGGAGTCGCAGAATCAACAAACCCCAAAGGAGAACCAGGTTTTCTCCCTTTAAAACCGGGTTCTCCGCATTCTAGAGCCCTGGAAATATCTTCTAAGGGTGGGTGCTTTGTGGAGGCTGGCAGTTTTGTGTTTATATTGCGAATTGACCTCTTTCAAACAGCCTTGACCTTTTGAACCCTGGCACCTTTCTACCCACACCCCACCCACCCACCTACCTACCTCCAACCCGCTTGGGCCCACAACAGGCGGGCGGGTGTTAGCTTTCTGCAGAGGACTGAACACCGGAGTGGGCAATGGCATGGTCTTCCCACAGGGTCACGGCCAGCATTATGAAGGACACCCATCTTGGAATGGTGTGTCTTACCCAGATCAGCGTACATTATTTACTTGAGCTCGGGTAGGTGGAGAATGATTTGCTTTGAGAGAAAGGGCACGTTCTCAGGAGCTATGGTCGGTCCTTGATGCCGCTTTGGGCACATGCTGGACGTGGGGGATCGTTGTCGATGAGAGAGATGCTGGTCAAGCTTCGGCCCCAGGACTTTTCTTCCTTTGTCAGGACTTCAGGGCCCCAGGAGTCCCTGCTCTGAGCTCTGCCTCCCAGTTGTCCTGCAGTTGGTCTGCCTCTGAGCTCCACCTCTGAGCTCCACGCACAGACTGCCTTTTCTCAGCTCGGGCCAGTTCCCTGGCTGTCATGGGAATCCTAAAAACTGAAAGTGTGATGTTGAGTTGAAGTGGAAAAAATTGGAGAAGCTTGTGTTCGCATGTGTGCGTCTACTTAGTATCATGCGGCGCTAGCTTGTGGAAGGCTTCCTGGTAGCTGGATTGATTTTTTAAGGATACAGACAGCAGGCGGAGGCATGGATGGACCCAGGAGGGGCGGCGGGGGGCAGTAAGTAGGGAAGACGCCATTGCTCCGCACATGGGCTTGTGGGCAAATGGAAAATGACATCTTGCGAAGAATGACTCATTCTCTCTGTTTCATCACCCTTACGGCAGCCTCACTTGAGCCGTTGATTTGTTTTTGTGCACAGGCAGTGCTTTGTGAGCACAACTCATTTCAAAGGGGAGTGGTGGGCTCAAAAGCCAGCCACTGTCTTGTTGACAGTTTTACAGACTTGGCCCCTCACTGGCTTCCTCAGGAGTTGGGCCTGGTGGCAGCTCGCTTTAACTTGGTTTTGATTTTCCTTTTTCCTCTGCACACCAAAGGCCCAGCTGGGTTGAGGCGAGCCTGCTAGCACAGATGACCACTCACCAGATTGTCCAGAAAGGCAGCAGCAGCACTCTGAGCAGGGAGGGATTTGCTGGTGGGAGCTTCTCCCATCTCGGTGGCAACCTTGTGGAACTACAAGTTCAGAATGGGCTGAGACTGCCACCCGCTTTCCAACCCCTCAGACATCCAGAGGAAGAACAGGAGGCGGGCCCTCCCAGCCCTTGCTCTAGCCGTCCGGGTTCCTCCTTGCAGTGGCCTCTGGTAGTGGCCCTGTGGTGGAGCACGGCCTGGCGAGGCTGGGTGGCCTAAGTGAGTGCATGGTCTCCCCTGTGTCCTCTTGCTCATCTCCCCAGGGGAGAATCAGGGTGGCCCAAGCGCTCAGACTTCCCTCTGCTTATTTGTTTCTGGAAAAGGATGGAATAAACGCTCCCAGGCGATGTAAGCATACGGTAGCCAAACAGCATGCTGGCGGTGTCAGACCCGAGCCTGGGGAACCAGGTCTGTGAGGGAAGGGACTGGTGCTTGGCTGGGGAGAGCCCAATGGGCATCACCCTGATCTTCGGAAGCATATCTTGGTGTGAAGCTGAAGGGTTTGCCAGTGTGGTTATGGAGCGCGCCTATCTGAGTTGAAAGGGATTATCAGGTTGACGAGAAGAGGGGAAAGGAGCGCCATTGTCTCCCCTCTCCGGGCCTTTTTAAAGATGACTTTCGACCGGACCACTGCCGACACCTTGATCACTACACTAACCTTTGTACCCCGGGAGAGCTTGGAGAGCTAATGCAATGATTCTGCCTAATGAGGTTTATAAATCATCAGTGTTTGCACACACCTTCGGGCAAGTCTATATCCTTTTCATCTTTAATACCCTTGAGCGCCTGCATTTCTGTAAATCAAGTTCATTCTGTCTGACCTGTCGCAGGTAATTGGAAAAATGGATGATGGTTTATGCCGTGTGCTGTTGCTCACACGTGAACAGGTGGTACAAAAACGCAGGCACATGTGGGATGGCATTCCTTCTTTCAGCAGAATTCCAAGGGCAACTTTTCCTAGTAGCCCGAGTGGTTTTCATTGGAAACTTGGTGGTTGGCAGTTCCCCTCTACATAGCCTGTTTTTCTTGGTCATTTGAAAAATTGGAATCAAGCAATCGAATGAATAAATTTACACCAAGGGGAGGGGGAGGGCCTGCTGGCCAGCGTCCTTCCAAGCATAGGATAACGGTTTAACCTAGAAAAGCTCGGCGGTTTTGCTTAATTTTCGTGGGTCTCCTTCCCTAGATTAATGCTGAGACTTTCCCTGCCCTTGTCCTCGGAATAACAATTGATGTGTAGAAGTAGCCTCAAGGTAGCTTTTCCATAAAATAATGGAATTCTAGGTAGTGCTGAGGACATCCCGCTTTTCCTCAGAAACATACAATCCAGTGTCCTGGATTGTGCAGGCTCATAGATAGAGTCGTTGGGATTAAGCTAGATAGAGGACAACGTGTCATATGCTTTAGTTTGTTATTTGAAGAAAGGAAACTGTCTCAGGGCAAATTCATAGGTCGAGAGTTTCACTCGTGGGTGGGGTCAGGGGTGGGAGCGGATGTTGAGAGCATCCCCTACAGTTGACCTTCCCCTCAAAGAAGCTCGTCTGTAGCCCCGTTCGCTTCGGGATGGAGAATCTCCCTGTGGCTGGATTGGGCTCCTCCATCGCTGTTAAGCACACGGGTGTCTGTGCTCTGCCATTGACTTCTACTGGACCCAACTGATGCCTTTTATTGATTCCTTTTAGCCAAATGCAGGTCCCGAACCTGTTTTGTCTGAAGATGAACAAAGTGACACTGAAGATAAGGAAGAGACAGAACTGGGTGTCATGGACGATCAGCGTAGTATAATTCTTCACCTCATCTCACAACTCAAACTTGGAATGGATTTGACCAAGGTAAGGGGCCTGGCCCATCGGGTTGGTGGCCAGCTGTGTGGGTCCCTTCTCTACTCCCCAGCGTCTTAGAGCCACAGTCTTTTCAACTGTGGTGTGGGATTCCAAACACAGGCTGGGGGAGAGGGCCAGAATCGCTTTTTAAGTACAGTTATTCCAGGTAAAGTACTAAAGGAGATAGTTCTAGATAGATGTTTGTGCTCTCAGAGGCCGAGCCTTGTGTGTGATTGTCAGTGTGAAAAATCCTTGCCTGAAGATTCTTTATTTAAAAAAAAATCATTTTATTAGGGGCTCATACAACTCTTATCACAATCCATACACACATCAATTGTGTAAAGTGCATGTGTACATTCATTGCCCTCATCATTCTCAAAACATTT